CAAATCCTAGGAAATATGCCCTTCAACACGTCATATGTCATTGGATCTAATGCGATCATACACATAAATAAACAAAAATTTCCTGTTTCTCCATCCCTTTAAAAAGCTAAGCGCATACTAACACCAATCATCGCTAAAAACCCATGTTCAGTCAAGGGTCAGTGAATCGAAGATGAACGATACTTGTATTGAAGATAGAGTAGAGTCGTGGCTACATTTTAGTAAAAAGAAAAAGTTTTCGTCTGTCTTAGGTCAGAAGCTATTGATACTTCACAGAAAAGACATAAATCGCTTATATAGCACAAACCGTCTAGTAAAAGAGGCCCAAACTTGGTGGATGATCAGCATTCGATAACAGCTATGACCACACAAATGACCTAGCTATCATGGCTCTTGAGTTACGGGAGGCTCTATTTTTGCGGTGTACTGTATATTTCGAAGATATAAGCGCATTATGACATGTTCTTTCATTGAAAACAGAAATCTTAACTGATTAATCCTTTACTAGACCCTTTCCTTCTTTAAAAAATGTACAGAAAAGAGCTTTCCCTTAGTGCAAAAGCAGAATGAAATTAAGAAACAGAGAGATATGCTCACGAACATATTCCTTTATTATAAACATATCGTTAGTCTTTCGTCCCATCTTTAAGAAATGCTCCTGCTGTATGTACTTTTTTCTACTAGAAAACTGAAGGGACAGCAGTAACTGGTTCTTATTCATTCATCTGTGTTAAAGCATCGTTTTACTGTCCTCAGTAAATCTTTTTTGAACTCAATATAAAGAAAAAAACGAAAAAAATTTAAACGAAAAGGACGCTGAACAACTGTAAAAAAATCGTTCTAGATTTTAAGTTTCTTTAAAAATATATTCCACCTTTGATTTTCAATTTGTCTACATACATATATTTGTCTACGCTTGATTAAGAAAATATTTTAGGGATAAGTTCTCTGACTGAGACACAGTCTTTCAGACATAATGTGAACAAAATTTAAGATTTTGAATTGAGGATAACGTTATTCTATTATGCATTTTAGGCTTGGAGTTCCGACTGTTGGGAGTAAAAGCTAGACTGAGTTTTTCTTTACATTCTGTGTATATATAATATTCACTAAGACGAAAGATGCCTTTTCATAGAAGCTTTTCAATTGGCATTCTTTTTTTTGTGTATCTTCATAAATTTCCGCAATAATCTCGTCTCAAATTACACCGAAATGTAGCTCAAATCACCCATTTTTCGTTATAAAATTATCACTTTTTTTCGAAGGTTCACTTGAAAAAAGAGGTCAGTAATGTATAAAGTACTATAATTAGTTTTGTAAGAAGAGGATGTTTGAAAATGAACCTTTTTGAAATATAGTACTTTTGACCGGATGTATAGTTTTTCAGTCATGCTTTTAAAGAGTCTTTTTCATTGAATTTTGTAGAGAATTGCACCCGCTATCTTCCGAAAAAGCGTTCAAGACAAAGCTTCGAAAACTAAGAAAGATATTCACAAAATACCGAGAAAGTCATTCTTTATGGGCCACTCGTTATTACTTTAGTCTGATTTTTTTTCTCTATTAATCAGACACTTAAAGTATGAAACCTAGATATGTGATTAACTGTTTCTTTCTAAATTCCCCAAGATCATTTTCTTGTAATAAACGTTGTTCTAAGGATAATATTTCGATTTTAGAAGATATTTTATAAAGTGAGTTGCTTGACTAGTACTTAACTAAAGAAATATTAATCGGATTTTTTTAACTCAATTTATCACAACCTTCTCAAAAATATGATTTATAATTTTAATACTGTGAAAACTAAACGCTACCTTATCGTTATTTTTATATTCATGTTAGTGATGAAATTTAAGTCATAAAGTTTATATTAAACTAACAATAAAAGGTTACAGTATGCATTTTCTGGTATTTTTGCATTTTTTAACATTTTTTTCCATTTCAATGAAATGGTTTGAATTTATGCTCCTTCAACATAGTCTAACTCTTCATTTTCAATTAAAAAAGTTGTTTGCGATCTAGAAGAGTCATTTCCACAAAGCAAACTATAATCAACAATGTTCTTTGTTATACATTTCCATAAATTATTCTATTGAGAAAAAGCATTAGCGTAGGTTCCAGGAAAATGTGTGCCATTTTTAAACCATAAGAGCTAGAGAGATCGACTTTGCGTCATCTTGTAGAGCAATGGCGTAGGCAGGGTAGGGGCGACAGGGCAATCGCCTAGTGGTATGAATCCCATTGTCCCGTGATTATTTCGGAACGGGGGCAATTGCCCAGTGCCAAAAAACTTGATAAACATGTTTCCTTAGAATTTTAGTAGCAGTAAAGTTACTTCGGCCCAGTCGATCTTTTCATTGCCCATAGTTGTCCAGTCGTCAAAACATTTTAGCTGGGAATCACCCAGTGCTAAAAAAATCCTGGCTACGCCACTGTTGTAGAGGGACCTCTGGGCTCTTTTTTGAATAGTTTAGACATACAAGTTCCTATGGAACCTGAAAAAACTGCAACCAACTCTTCGAAAGATTCATAGTCAGGAAACCCTGAAACTCCACGGATTTTCAGCATTTATTGATATATTTATGAAGTACTCAAGTACCTACGCAATGGTAAAAGCCGCAGCTCTCTAGCTCTTCCTGTTCGTGAGTTATTGGAAAAATAGCCACGGCCACCACTTCACTTTACTGACGGTAGTAATGAATAAACTATTGCAGGTATCAATAATCATCACATTGGGATAAAATCTCATCATTATTCTTATACATCTGGTAGAAATGGAATTGTTTTTAAACATTGCACCATCGAAGATCTATCTTGCTACTACTAATACAAAATTAAATGGATGTTTTCAAGTCTCATAACACAGCGCCCTCTCTGAAACATTTGTTTCTTTGAATTGTAGTATATTTGACTAACCTTGAGATGAAAAATATATATATACGACAATATTTATCATCAAAAGTGAAACAAGAAAGAATGTGTAATATTTGCCTTTTACCTATCGCTTCAGTAAGACAACAACATGTTGTTTCGAAAGAATCCATGACATGACCTAGGTAAATTTCGTCATTATCGTTCGAAATTACATGCACGTATTCTTCTCTGACTTTATATAAGGAGAAAACGTTTCTCTAGATATATCAAATTGAATATCTAGGTGCAGACATGACATCATCTTTTCTGGTTTTTCCTTCAAAACCAACTGGAAATAATCGTCGTATTGAACTAGCCGGTTTCGATCTTTGGACGAATGGACGTATCGATAATGTATTTGTTTATCCATCTGAAATAAATATTGATCAATTCAAAGAAGCACTCAGCCGTACTTCGTCATTATGGCCATTAGTTGCTGGTCGTGTTCGTTTAGAGGATGATGAACGTTATATGATTGAAATGTCTGACAATCCTATTACAGTAACATTAGTCATTAATAATGATTTAAATAAGTGGCCCCTTGACTCAAATGTAATAGTAGAATTAAATCAAAATCCACTTCCAGCATTTCTTGACGAAATTCAAGTGACAAAAGTGTTCGATAAATCACAAGATGAACCACTTGTTCGTATAAAACTAACTCATCTTATACAAAGTGGTGAATGGGTATTAGGTGTTAGTTGGTCACATGTATTAGGTGATGCTGCTGCATTTTTACATTTTTCAAATACACTTTCCTGTTTTTATCTACAAATGGAACCACGTGGACCATTACCAATATTTGAACGGCGTTTATGGCGAGAAGATGAAGCCGATCAATCATTTTTACCTCTCATGAAACAACAACATGATTCTAAACCTACAGCAGAAATTATAAAAGCATTTCTTGATGATCAAATAACATATGATCCAGTTAATCTTCATTTTTCTGGTAAACAACTATCTAAATTAAGAATATTAGCTGGTGGGAATAATGTAACAATTCAAGATTCACTAACAGCTTATATTATTCTTACACTTAATACATATTGTTATTCCAATAATGATGAACGTCGTATTTTACGTACAAATACAGCTGTTAATTATCGTGGTGTATCTGATGAAATTGCTTCAAAAGGTCAAGTTTCTAATGCTGTATTGATGATGTTATCAGATAATTTTGATGATCCATATTCATTATCAAATATTGCAACAACAATACGTGGATCGATCAAGAAATCTCGTGATTCAAAATTTCTCGAAGCTTGGATAGCTACTGCTGATGGATTAATGAGAAAAAATATTAAAGATGATAAATCAATTGATATGGGAATTTTTTCAAATGAAATTGTAGTTAATTCAAATTTAAGATATGATTGGGCAAGTTTAGTTGATTTTGGTTATACAGATAAATGTCGATTTTATACAGCTTGGACAGGTGCATTATATTTACGAATATATCGTCTTAATCCAGAAAAAAATGGAAATGAATGGTTACCAAGAGATCAAGATGGCGCTGAAGTATCATTTCGAATGGAAAAAGATTTAAAAGAAAAATTTGTTGATGCATGGAAACGAGATATTATTGAACATTTTGAAAATGTCAGGAAATAGAAGATTGTTTTGATTTTAGTGAAAAAAGCTTTATTTATATAGAATTTTGGTATAGATTAATAAAAAGAAAATTAAACTGAATCAAATTATTCATAAAAAACATATAATCTGCTATGAGTTTAGCAAACATTAAAATGATAATTAAGTAATGTATGTTTAGAGATAAATTCTATTTCATCTAACATCGTCAGTTGCTTTAGATCAAAACTTTGAATATTGAAAGAACAATGTCTTATATCTTTGATACCATAATAGCTGACAAATGTCAGAAGAGAGTTAAGTACTTTTCAGAAACAGAGTTGATTTAAATACTGCTACGAATTTATTGTGAGGATTTTTAATCTGATTTATATAAACTTGCGTTATTTACAGATTAATCTTTTAATTCTTATTATTCAACAATCGATTGTTTAGACGTTGCGTAATTTTTTGTGAACACTTGGTGTACTCCAACAATATCGTAGGGGGTCGAGAAATTCGCCCGATTTTCCGGGAGAAAATCTTTCTCAAAATGACCGGATCGATGATTTGGACCCTCACAGCTGTACCTATTGCAAAAGAACGAAAGCATGTCTGTAGCAAGCGGTTGTGTGAATTTGTAGTAGACACTATCTACTATCCGTTCCGACTTAATTGTAGCTTATTTTGAAGCCTAGAAAATTGTCTATCTTTCTATATATAAAACGTTCCGGATCTGAGGAGATAAGTTCAAGAAATATTCCTTTAAGGCACCAAGATAGGTGAAAATGATGATATCTGGCTAGTATTTCGACAATTGTCCTGTATGGGCATATTTTTGAAAACCCCGTTTATAGCTTGTTTTGAAGCCCAGAGAATTCTCTACTTTACTATGTATGCACTTTGTTCAAGGACCTTGAAATTGGACGAGAAAGGAGGAGGGCGGATAAGGTAGGTTTCCCGCACCCAATGGAATTGCATTTTTTCTATCAGAAACATGTCAGGGGATTATTTGAAACATTTTGTACCACTTAGTTTTTCAAAATTTTTTTGGAAGG